ATAATTATTTTGTCTTAAGTGGGAAATCTAGAAATAATATTGCTGTAACTAATAAACAAAATGGACACAATATGGTCAATGGAAAGAATAATGTTTCTAAGTGTGGACTCAAATGTCGTATTTATTAAAGAGAATGTTCTGATAATCTAAGAGAAAAAAAATAAAGAGCAATATCCCATAAATGAAGCCAAAATTGTTTGAAGACAATAGGTCTTAAGAATTTTAGAGTGGTCATACCTAAACAGAACTGAAAACACATGACACATTTATATGAATTTATGAGTTTTGTGCACAGGCCTAAGAAAATTAATTATTGTGCCATTAAAATATCCTAGGTTTAACAGTGCAGATTTTAATCCCAGCAGTTCAGAGGCTGAGGCAGTCTGATCTTTGCGATGTGGAATTCATCTTTATAGTGAGTTCCAGTTTAGCTTAGATTACAGGAAGATCCTGTCTCAAATATACCAAAAACAAAAACCAAAAACAAACAAAAGAACAGCCTAATAGTATAGCTGCTGTTTATGAGAAAAAGTGCTGTTTTGCTTTCCCAGATTAAGAATGTTACCAATAGTTCCAAGACTAGGGCTGAGCCTACATGCAATTCTCTGGCTTCATTCTTGGCCCTTATCTAATTGAGTTGACATGGTGCTCTATGCCACCATTGCCACAAGTTCACATATATAAGCTTCCAGTGCCCTGAAAGAGCCTGCTTCTCTGTGTTCATGGACCAACCCTGCCTCTTATAGTCTTTCTGCCCCTTCCTCCACAATGATCCCTGAGCCGTGAGTGGGAGAGGTATGGAGTCCTATCCAGGGAATCCAGGAACATACACACTCCAGTCCCTTATTCTTTAAAAGTTGACAAGTAGTGGCCTTTTGTATGTATCACACTCTGTTGTATAAGGAAGCTTTACTGATGAGAGTTGAGGGATACACTAGTTTTCTCTCTACACCCCACCCACCCCTCCCCTTCCACTGTGTTCCGTGAAACTTAGGTGTAAAGGTTCAACTGTAGATATGTGACCTAAGTCTGAACATCTCTTAGATGTATATGCTCTATATCTGACCAGTTGGGGGATTCTGTGTAGCCTCCATCTGTTGCAAAAAGAAACTTCTTGATGAATATTGTGTGGTATACTTGTCTGTAAATATACTATATTAACATATGGTAAGAAAGAAGGGTAGACCTTTCCGACAATGGTATCTGTATAGGTCAACTGGACTCCAATGTATGGATAGGACTTAACATGGATGGGGGAAGGGGTATAAATGTGATTAAGAATTGTATTAAATGCACAAAATCTCAATAAAAATAATATGAAAAAGAATTTTATCAACAACCAAGGGTGTTCCTCTGTGCTTTCCTCTCATGTTATTGGTGGCAGTTGAAAGACTTAACCATGCAGCTCTTGTTAGGCTACCATAGTGTGGAAATTTCATTGGTGTAACCTCCTTATCTTGTCTAGAAGGCATTCAATAGCATCAGTTACCTAGTCCTCATTTTCATTACTGCTGCCACATCTTCCACAATGTTTCTAAAGTCTTAGGTATAGAGGTTGCGTTGAACACCTGTCACTTGCTGATGAGTACCTCACAGTCACTTATTCTCTGTTTGACCAGTTGTGGAACTTTGTAATAATCTCCATTTGTTGCAAAAAGAAATTCTTTGATGAGTGGTTAAAGATATAAGATAAATACCTATAAGGCTAAGTATGCAGACTACAGTAAGAATTTACACTGATTCAGGGAAGTGACAGAGGTAGATTTTTCTATGTGATTTACAACCTCTCTAGCCTTGGATACTTTGTTATGTCTACAGTACCAGACATGATTTCCTGCCCATTGGGAAGAGTTTTTTTCTAATTAGTCAGCTGAAGGCTACCCTCAAGAAAAAAATGACAAGACTGCACCAATAGAAACAGTTTGCTGGGCCAGTGATTGGTGTGGTTCATAGACTTTAAACTGCATTAGAGTCATTGATTGGTTTTCCATTAGCAGCTTTCACAGTATCTTCTGAGATTATGAGAGCGAGTCTTCAGAGAGGATGTGTCCAAGTCATTTCTAGATCAGTTGCTCCAAGTCTGTGATTGATATGTCTTTGTCAACAGCGTCTTAACTTCAAGGTCCAGGAGGCAAAAAAAAGGGCTGTGACAATAGTCTGTATTATTTTGTTACTTTCTTTGATTAGCCTGACCAACAACTGGTAAGAGGGTTTCTGTTTCTCGGCAGTGTGCTTTTCATTACATAGCCTTCTGCTATACACGTGTTCACATTTATATATGTATTTTTTTTATGACAATAGTATTTTGTTACTTTCTTTGATTAGCCTGACCAACAACTGGTAAGAGGGTTTCTGTTTCTCGGCAGTGTGCTTTTCATTACATAGCCTTCTGCTATACACGTGTTCACATTTATATATGTATTATGTATTTT